TTTTATCCAAGTGATGCTGTTGCTGTTCCTGTGCTACCAATGTAGATATAGCTTCTTAAATTAAAAACGAGTGCTCAGCAATGTCAGCTCAAAATTGAAGTCTACAACACAATGATCAAATCCTCTGAGCATGAAGGCCAAGCATGAGATCACAAATTGTTGCTGTCAAGGTTATGGGGTGAACTGCATCTGAGACTCCTTTTAAGTCCCTCTTGAGTGCACCCCCGTAGGAGACAGGCCTGGCTTACCAAACCTCGCTCTGGAAGGAACCATGTAGTCCAACCACTCTCAGACTGGATCTCTGGGTCGCAGCCCTCCTTGTTTCTCTACTGTATGAACATGTCAGGTCCAACTGCATTTGGCAGCTGCAAGCCCTTTCACTCTGGGGACCTGTGACCAGCAAGCTGATTAAAGTGACTCAGAAGCAGCATCTTCAAAACCATTCATCCCTCCAGAGGCACAAAATACACAGAGCAAGGGGTTAAAAAAATAAAATCTTTCATTGCAAGTTTTTTTAGTTCCCCTCAGCCAACCTAACTCCCATCTCTGGCTGGGAGAAACAGAGAACATGCTGCAAGCAGGACAGTCTAGTTTGTGTGTGATCCCTGACCAGCTTTGCAGCTTCCACCAACACTCTTTGCACAGCGTCTGGTCACTCACTCAATCCTCACCCTTTTTTAGACTGGGGGGGGGGGGGGGAGGGCATCCTCTGATGTCTTATTGTTCCCTTCTCTTTTCAGCATTGGCAAAGCAGCTATGTTACCAGGATTGAGGCCAGAAGTCGCCTCTTCACTGCTATAAACCTGGCTGTTATGTTTGTGTGTTTGTTGGGATGCTTCTTTTTTAGGCATTGTTTTACTTTTCCTGCTTGCTTTTCCTCTAACAACCCAGTTTGGTCTAATTCCATAGAAAGAAATCGATCATAAGCAAAAATATCATATTTATAAAAAATACAGCTATTTCCTACTTTGTCACAGTTGCCAGAAGACTTACTAAGGTGTTTTACATGTTAAAGAGCCATTGTCAACTTGAAATATCACATTTCTGGATAATTCTTTTTAGCCAACTATATTTACAAGTAATCCCCTACAATTATCATAACTAAAAGAAGCCAGAGAAAAATATTTGAACCTCAGTATATTACTCTGTGCATTTGACAGCACACTAGGAATAGTCAGTTTCATTATTTCATTGAGAGTCATTTTCACTTCCTGCACTAGCATGTTCACTATGGAACACTGGTTGGGGATGGAGGGGCTCACATACATGCTCCTCCCCAGATGCAGCAGAGAGCTACTGTTGATTCTAAATGTGGGGACAAGAGGAGCAGAGAAGTAACAGGTTCTGGGAACAGGGTGGTGTTAGAGAGGCTCCCCCACATAAGTCCCTAGATGGCCTTTGCATGTTGTTAGGAGGTAATGTCAGCATGGGGTAGCAAAGGGCCCCTTCTGCTAGCATAGGAACTGGGGTAATGGAAACAGGAAGGGTGCGATCAGATAGTTTCTCTCTGGAACACTTTCATAGTTCCCAGGGAGCAGTGGGTGGCAGGTTCAATGTGGGGAAGAAGGAAAGAGATGTCTCCACTCCCTGTGAGTCTTGTGAGGACTTCCTTCCCCCGACCCGCACCCTCCCAGGCCTACTCCAGAGCTCCACACACTCGTGGAGGAGTACTAGGAGGTGAACACTTCCCACTGCAGAGAGCTTTATGGGCTAAGACAGGGGGAGTGTGATCTTCCCTCCTTGGGACCATGGAGGAGTCCCAGGGAGCAGCTGTAGCCTGGCTATGAAAAATGTGGGTAGGGATGGACCTGGAACAGAGATCTTGATTCATAGAATCCTGCAGAAAATCTGCAGCCCAACCAGGGGAGAGTGGGGAAAGGAAGGGTTTGTTTTTACTCCCCAGAACATGGACAAGTCCCAGCTACTGCCCAAATGGGAATGAAGTAGGCAGGGACCAGAAAGGACTCCTGTGAGCAGCTGCTGCTGAGACTGAGTGGGGAACTTCACACTTGGAGAACACGGAGTTGTATATCTGCTTCCTGGGACCTGGGAAGGGTGGTTGAAAGTGGAAGCACCCCTGTTTCTGCTTCCACGGCCAATGAAAAGGAAGAGGCTGGTAGGCAGTGAGTGCACAAAGAGAAGGGGCAGGAGGGGCAAAAGAGAAGATGAGCTCAGTTCATTTGTTATCGTGCCTCTTGGGCTTGACTCGCAATCCACTACCAAAAAGCCCTTTAAAAGAACAAGGAAACAGTAAAACAAGTGTAAACATTGAAAAAAAAACCCCAAACCTCTGCCCATGCTACTGAAATGCTGCACTACTAGAAAATGGAAATATCTGAAACTAGTCAATTTCTAAAAATTCAAGAAGAAGATTTCCTAATAAGAATATTTTGGGCCCTGGTCTTACACCGCACTGTGAAGCACAGAGGGGAAGAAGAGAAAGCATGAGCAACAGAGGCAGGGCGCATTGACACAGGCTCTTTCCCCCCCCCCAGGCATACGGGCAAAGGAGTGTGGGTGGTATATGGAAGGGAGTCAGTGGTGGGCCGATTTAAGTCAAATCCTGCCCCCACTTCACCCAAACATAGTGAAGAACAAAGAGTTATTCCTGGTCTTTACCAAGATTAATCGAAGAGCCTAACTTCAAGCAACTGCTAGTGCATAAAGTTCTGAGGTAGCTTCCCCTTTTGTACCAGGGCAGCAAGCCCCGATTTCTACAAGTGCAGGGTTGGGACCTTTCCCTGCACTAGAGACAGCTGAATACCATCCTCTTCTGTCCCTTTCTTTGCCAGTTATATCAATCACGTTTCGCAGCATTCATTGCATCTACAGATTACAGAATAACTCCTGCATCCTGTGCAAATTTTCTTTTTTAACAGTTTACAGACAACTTGACAATATCCATCCTTCAATTCAATGATTATTGGCATGAGACCCCTCTGGCTTCTCCTGGACTCAAGATCTTTTATTGTTTTATACTTTACACTGAATAAGGTCTCTAAAGGCTCAGAGGTTTTTTTTACGTTTTAAGAATACCTACTTCTTAGGTTGGGTTTCTCAAGCTCTCTCAGCTCTAATTAACAGATCAGAAATAAACACACAGATCTGTGAAAATATTTTGCAGGGTCACAGATGATGATGAAAATAAATCATCAACTAGTGACTTGCTATGCATAACAGCCACAACAAATTAAAAACGTGACCTAACACATCAGTAGCAAAGTAGAAAATGGAAGAATTGCACTGAGGTTAAGTCTGTATTTTATAATTTTCTAAAGATGGCTTCATGGTCAATTAAATGCTACTTCTCTCCCTCCTTAGTAAACAGACAGAAACATTCAGATAATTGGAACTAATGTGATGAGAAGCTGAGTGCTTCCAGCAAAGTGCCAAGTGCTCTCAACTCTTTTTTAATTCAAAGAGAATTAAAAGCATTCAGAACCCACCAGGCTCAAGCATCTCCATTTGCCACATTTCTGACTGACATAGTCAGGAGTTTATAATTTATCATGGGTGAAGTTTGACACAGGAAGGCATACAAATAATTATAATCCCTTTCATTCATTTAATTTTGTTGATTGGCTATTTTAAGTATCTTTCAGTAATTAAATCTATGATATTTTTGATAGCCCAGTTCTACTGTACAAACCAGAATACACAGTATAAGCTCAACCAATGTTGACATTCAAATGAAATGGTATACTGACATTCAATCTACGGGATTTATATCACTAGAATGTATATAATCCCACACTTAAATGTAGAACAAAGTACTCTTTAGCCAATGTAAATCAACATTGCTCCATTGAAGTCATGAAGTCTGATTTACACCAGTTCAGGATCTGGCCATAACACTACACATGTACAGACCCTAGGCCAGCAACCATTTTGGAACAAATCCTGCCCTCGCCACACATTCAAGTGGGCAATGTGCAAAGCAAGCAGGATACAGGAAGTCTGTGCCCCATAATGCTCTGTCTGCGACAATGAGATGTGCGGGGAAAGGAGCAGTGCGTGGTGTGGCTAGTGGATGTACAGTTAAGCATAGCCACCTGATAAACCCCCTGTGAAGGGAAGTGGGTAGGGGATTTGGCTCTTTAGGAGATTACTACTATTTTAAGGCTCTGTAGTCAGGGGAAAGAATTCCATTCTTTGCAGAGCACTTTTGCACCAAGTCTTATTTGTTGCAGATTTGGCCCTTTGTAAACATTCCTCAATGCAAATTAAAGTTGCGGTTGTACATAAAATGAAATTGGCAAACTTTTAAGATATACTTGACTACATCAGATAAAGCCCAACTGATATCTGGTAATTCAACATAATTTTTCTTGTAAACATTACACGGTAGAACTTCAGAGTTACGAACACCAGAATTACGAACTGACCGGTCAACCGCACACCTCATTTGGAACCGAAAGTACGCGATCAGGCAGCAGCAGAGACCAAAAAAAGAAAAGAAAAAGCAAATACAGTACAGTACTGTGTTAAATATAAACTACTAAAATATAAAGGGAAAGTTTAAAAAAGGATTTGACAAGGTAAGGAAACTGTTTCTGTGCTTGTTTCATTTAAATTAAGTGGTTAAAAGCAGCATTTTTCTTCTGCATAGTAAAATTTCAAAACGGTATTAAGTCAATGTTCAGTTGTAAACTTTGGAAAGAACAACCATAACATTTTGTTCAGTTACCTCCATTCCCGAGGTGTTCGCAACTCTGAGGTTTTACTGTATTGTAACAGTCACTAATCCTGGAAGCTTAGTTACTTTATGAGTTGGAACAAGTTTTCTCAGGTCATTGAGTGTTACTCAATGTATGTTTGGTTAGGAGATACCTCTGGGGCAACATTACATGTTCCACAGCAGTTTCCTGTACTCTGTCAAACCAATAAATATTTGTTTCCTAATTCTGTCTGTACTTATGACCAACAGAGTCTCAAGAGTTACATTTAAAGAAAACAACAAATAAATGAAGAAAGAAGAAAGAAAAGATGTCTCTAAATACCGTGACTGTTGCATCGTGCTGTTTCCACAAGCCGACTGTTTTGATCATAGCATGCCATGGCCTGGTAACGATAGCCTTGCCCACATTCCTTGATATCTCCTTGTACTTTCATTCCGAGTAATACTTCCACTTTGCCCTCTGGTAAAATGCAGTCTGACCAGTTCCCCACAGGCTGAGCGTTGTACTTGTCACAAGGACAAAATTGAGTCTCGATCAGAGGATACAACTGGGAATTTTTGCACTTGTCCCTCTTCTTACTTTTTCCTGCAGGGAGAAAATAATTGTTCAGAAAGCACTTTCTATCACTGTACACAAAAGCTGGTAATTTTATTTAATGATGCCACTAAAAATAGGCTGCTCCCCCCCCCCCAATTCATCAGTGTTGTGCAATTTAATTGTTATTATGTCATACTTATTCCATGGACAACATGTGCAAGGTGGTTTTTCTGGGTTTTTTAAAAATTTTCTTTTGGTATCAAGGGAGAAAGAGCCACTGTCTGCTTCTGTTACACTATTTCAAATTATCAAAATCCTCAAATTTTATCACGTTATTGCACCATTAGTTAAGAATCACTCTTCTTGCCCTCTGATGGAATAAGCTCCTTCTTTTTATTAATTCCAGAACATTGCTGCATTTTTTCAAATCTCTTCTAGCAACTCATTTATTCTCCCCAACTATTTAGCCACCCATTTTCTCCTATTTGCATTTTTTAATCTTCTCTGTAAAGTTTGTTTTTGTTTAATTTTTTGTTATTTGCTCATATCTCATTTGATTGTCCCATTTTTAGAAACTAAAGAGCCTTGGCAAAATCATTTTGTAAAGTAATTATCTGTCAATTAGATGATAATATAAATGAATACGCTGCACTATTTTCCTTGTCTTTCAAACATGTTACTAACAGAAAATGAAACACTAAAAGCACTAGGCAGGACATTATAGCACACAGTAATTACACTAAATACTGTTTTAGTGTAGTACAGGGACAATGTACTGTAGTAAGGGGATTTCTCATTCGGTGGCTTCATACTGAAAATGTGTGAGTTAATCCCTCTTTCTCCGCATCTTTTCCCCATGAATAATTAGGGCCTTTATTCTCAGCTGTGCAGATTGGGTTGGATAAGTTTGCAATATAGAAGAATTGATTCACCAAGGGCCAAACCATCCCCCCAGCACCAAGTCTGAGTAGCTGAACTTGGCATAGGGAGATCCACAGAGACCTATCAATGCCAAGGCTGGTTGGCAGTTCTGTTTTTCTAGTTTCTTGTTTCTGGCTTTAAGGTAAATTTCTAGCCATTTTCTTTGTGGAAGTAACACTGATGTAAATTGTTCACCAGAATTATAAGACGGTCCCTGCCAGTCTTCCTGAAGATTGAGAGTTATTCGCAGTCCCTCCTACAGCCACCCATGCGTGGCCTTTTGGGACCCATGACACTCATGGCTGTAGGCCTTCTGATTTTGGATGGTTCCTATCACAATGGAGGGTGCTGGTGCCTATGTTGCTATTGAGCACCCTCCCTTCTGGCTTAGTGAGTCCCAGCTTAGCTAACGCCACCATGGGGCAGAGAATGTGGCTTCCAGCCACAAAAGGGGAATACTTGATAACATAAGAGAAAGCTTGATGTAATGGATTAAACAAATGACTGTGTGTATTAAGACTCACGCATTGACATTGACTCAATCCAGGGAATTAAATCAGTCATTTAACGTTTTCTCTTTAGTTTCCCCACCTGACAATGAAAGTACTCCTTACCTACCTAACTGAGCTGTTATGATGACTGATTAGTTAATAGAACAGGAGTACTTGTGGCACCTTAGAGACTAACAAATTTATTTGAGCATAAGCTTTCGTGGGCTACAGCCCGCTTCTTCGGATGCATAGAATGGAACATATATTGAGGAGATATATATA